CGAAAATTGAACTACGTTCATCCATGCATTGCTGTTGAGTTAGTCCACGTCGAAAGTTGTAGAAAATAATCGCGCGAAAATGCTCACGATTCAACCCCATAACTTGGCCCAAACAAAATCTTATAACTTAGTGTAGACAATACAAGTCGCGCTCAAATTTCGCAACGTAACCTAAAAATAATCAAACTTTACGATAGTGGTGTCAGTTGCTAGATTGCTACACTAGTGTTGCCAAATCTCAAAATATAAAAGGTAACCCTCGTAATAGGGCAATAATTTTCGGTGTGTTGTGGTTGGGTAAATGTTGTTTATTTTCAAAATGCAAAAAAAAAATCACAAAAATCCGTGTCACCTAGATGAACTGAAGGCCGCTTCTTTTCAACGACGGATTCAAGATTCAGAAATTCAAATGCTCTCTACCTATCCTTCACATGATTTTTTGTGACAACTATTTCCAGTATAGAAGTAACCGCATGTGATCTAGTGGGATCGTGATCAGTGGGGAGCGTTTCGATCACATATGTCAATTCATATCGAATCACTGACGCCTGTCAAATGCACGATCGGAGCACCTTTCATTGGGCTGGGTTACTTCCTTGTCGTCAAATGCTTGATTCGAATTAGCGTCAATAACAACGGTCACGTTTATGTATTTTTGGATAACTTATCTTGTCACAAACAAAATGCAACATGGCTTCTTGAAAAGAGACCAAAATTTGGTGAAAAGAAAGAAATGAATGTCCAAGAATGTTTTGGACCCGTGCCGTAATCTCACTGACACTTCATTCTATTTTTGGCCATCAGTTGCCAGAAAATAAAGGGATGATTCATCAGCTAGATTACAGTAAGTGTGGTTGGCACAGGATGGTCTTGTTTTCGTTCTAGTACGGCTAGGCCTAGGCTTGGATTGATCAGTGGTATTCATGCTACGGTTTCTGGAAAGGATTCGCTCCTAGAATCACGAAACTTACATACTCTCTACGTTCGAAAATGTCCTGCTATTTCTACGGAATCCGTGTCAGCTCAAGGTAGCTCTCTTCGCTCTCCGTTTTTGGAATGACCACTTGAGCACGCCGGTTTTCGTTTAGCTTCTTGACCATATCACTACGTCCAAACGGAAGGTGCTGACTAGATTTATCTGAAAGTCGAACCTGTCACAAAACCTGGTATAAATGAAGAGTTGTCCATAGGGTAGAGTTGGTGCAACTAGCGGCTACATGGTGAAGCTATTATATAAAGTTTATAGTTAAAGCAAAATCGCACTCACAACCGGGATCGGTTTATTCCAAAGACTTCATCTTTTATCCTTATTAGGCAAAAACCCGGACTGAGAAAGCCCAGAGAAGCTCTGCAGCACATCGACTGACAAAATTTGATGTTTTCAAATGAATTGCGAAGGATTTAAGGATTTACCTAGCACCAATGCTATGTTCAAAAGCTGAGTTTCTAAGTTTACTGCTGAGATTGTTGCCGAAAAGTTTTCACTTGGTGCTTGTGAGCGAAGTATGGATGGGTTCCTGAATCTTTGACCACAGCTGTCCTCAAACAGTAGAGAACAGCACAAAAAATTTGAGTTTCAAGATAGGTTCAAGACCGAAGCTTGCGTGGCAGGCCCAGTTGTGTAAGGCCTTTATCGGTACCGCAGGGATTGATAGAATACGTTCGAGTTAGAACAGGGGGAAATTATTGTCATCTTACGTGAGCCAGTACCTTTATTCGGAGTTTGGGTAGGATGGTGATACGCGGTAACGTAGGGTAAACTTTGCTTCGAGCAAGTTTTTGGACCATCAAATTTACGGGAGGTTCCTCAAAATGTCCAATAGTTATGTAAAAATTCGACAGAACTTTGGCATAATGATCTGCAAAGTCTCAGAGAAAGGCGAGGTGTTGTAATTCAAGGTGATGCACTATCACACATGTGTGGTTCGGAGATCAAATCTTGGATGGAATGTTCGTCCAGGCTGATCAACCCTTTCATCCATCCAGGGAATATTAAATGACTCGTCTGAGAGGACAAAAACACTGATTCATACATCGACTGACCACTGTAAGCCGTTGTGTGGCAATCAGTGTTTACGTGTTCAAAACGCCTCTACGATTTTGAGTGAGAGTCGAACGCGAGGCGCATTCCGAAAATGCAATGAGTTGGCGTCGAAGTACTATTCCTGGACGTTTGAGTGAATGTATATGGCTCAACTGAATTAGGACCAAGTAGGACAGAGTTAGGATAGTCAAGGCCGATTCCTGAAAATGAGAACGGAGGAGAATAGTAAAAGAGTTGCATCCTTCCATTGCACCCATGCGCTTTTTCGTTGAATAATTTCTGGATCCATTGGTCATGGCTTGCTGCACCATAAATATTTTCTCCTTTCCTCAACGGTTCATGGACCGTGGGCGTGGCTTGTGAGGTAGGCGCTTCTTGTAAGAGGTATGGAAACCTTATGCTTCTACCGTGCAATTTCTAAGTAGGAAAACCAGTTTCTTGAACAGTTCAGTAGTGTTTAAGAAGTAGGCGAATTAACTTGCTTTTCAAGTCTGTGTCTAATTCTATCATGGAGACGTAGAGACAAAACTTAGGTGTGGCTGTCAAACTCATCATCGGCAGCATTCCGTTCTTTCAGCCGAAAAAGACGGAAAAATCTCGAGAATGCGTACGGTGGGTGGAACGTGCTGATGGAAGACGCTGCGAAATATTCCATATTTGGAAAATGGTCAGTACGGTTGAACGTTTTCGGTGCATTCACAGTTAATTGGTAAAGAGGGAGTACGAGTAGACAATCTACAATGTTTTTACGCCAGAAAAAAGGGATAAGCTCGAGTCTCCTTCCATAACCTGCAGGGTAGCTTCAAGAATCTCTCCTAATTTATGGTGTCTATCAGAGTAAAGGCTTTTTGATCCAGTAGTCGTGTAATAATTGTATAAAGGAGTTATTCGCTGCTCCGAGAGTTGATGAGGGGGCGGGCTTCGTAAAGTGTGTATTCTAGAAGCTTTTTTTAGGGTTTTTGTTATTTTAGGCAATGAAATCAAGATGGTATCAACTCCACGACAGACTTCTTTCATTTCCAAATCACTGGATACGGTAGCGGATTTGTTCTGAAGTTGCGGACATATTGGGATGCAAGTGGAATCGTTGGAGGCACTCGTCCTCTTCATCGGTGAGCTTTCAAACTTGACTGAACTGTTCATAGTAGGCATCCACTGCCTCAAAAACACCGGAATTCGGCTTTATGGAGCGCTACCTCTCCTTCTTTTGTTTTCTTTTTGGAAAAACATTCTGATCCGCATAGGATCACTTGCTGAGATCTGAGTGTACATGGAGTCTTAGGTGTAAAAAAAATATTACATTTTTTTGTACAAATTTTTTTGGCTATGTGGGTAGATGAGTTTCCACAAAAATCTGTTTATGTTCAAAATAGGTAAAATGACAAAATATGAAAGAACAGTACAATGAATGTCAAGTGCTTAGTAAGGGAGAGTGCAGAATCACAGATAAGTACCGGCCGAGACTTCGATCCGTTCACCTTTTTTTTTGGATAAATAATACGGCATCTGGAAAAGCTTTCTAATTTGCATAAAAGAAATATAGGAGATTAAATCACAGTGAAGTACTCTTACCGATTACTGGCAGGCTTTGGTTTTATGGTGAGAATACGACGTGACGTGGACCTACTCCGGATGGTGGTTGTGGGTGGAGTGGTTGTTGTAGTGGTTGTAGTAGTGGTGCTAGTCGTTGATGTACTACTGGTAGTGATAAGTGTAAGACTGTCTGATTTCTTGGCAGTCCTTGTTGTTGTGCTGATATCTGTTGGAGGTGTTACTCGGATTGAAGGAATTCTCGATGGCGGAGGCGGACGTACTAAGTCGATTTCAGTTGGATCACAAGTTTCCTTGTCTGAACAACGACATTTTTAGTTAGGATGAGGAAAATATAAGGCAATTATAACAGTCTCAAATGGTGAGTTAGGGTTAAGTGTGGAGGTCAGATTCTCCACATATGTAAGAGATAATGATGTATGTAGCGCTCAGTCTATTCCCGGGTTACAAAATCTACTCCACGGTAGTTCGTCTTTACCCAAGGCAATAAACTACTTCAAATCTGCGTCCTCTTTGAAGTGCATGAAACTCCAATCTAAGAACCGAATCCTCAAGGAGGTGATCACAAAGTTTCCACAACAGTATAAGGTAAAAATGGGAGATCAATAATCCATTAACGAAGATGAAACTAAAAAACCATTTGAACTTGAAATTAGAGTTCTGGTTTCCCATGTCCGCTTTGGAGGACCTACCGGCTGGAGCTGCTGGGGAAAGGGGGAATAGAGATTATCACTGACTGAAGAAAGAGAGATTGTTCCTAAGAGTTTGCACCGAAGGTGGTCGGACTCGGGCTCAGGACACTCTCAACTTGCCCACATTGATTGCTCATTAGGCTCCAGACGAGCACTTTCTCAAGTGACAACACCATTCAACCATTTCGTTGTTAACTAAACGTTAGGCCCTTACTTGTTTTATACTCACAGCCTGTCATTATCTGCGTGAGTATCGCTTAGATTGGCAGGGCTTTGTCGAGATGTGCCCCTTTTTCTCTCTAGACCACTGCAGGCCCCACTGTGTTCAGAGTTGTGCCAAAGACAGAAGCCTAACAGTGAGGCACCACTGTCGGAAGAAGGTCACAAAAATTCACTTATCACCGGATTACCACCCAAACTTACTGCCTTGGCTTTACCTGGATGTACGAAGCAACAGCATATTGTGTGACCGTCGTGATAGTAGCATCTGGAACGAGGAAGAACGAAAAGAGCTTTCACTCAGAAAATGAAACAGACAAAGCACAGCGTCTACCATAACCCACCTATCTCCATCCTTCTTCTGATGAACTAGTAGGCAGTATCGGTACATTTCGTCGTTAAGGTGCCTATAGACGCAATGGGTTTCTTCAGTTTCATTGAGGTCTTCTGAAAAGCATTCTGATTCTCACTTCGCAAATGGGCGACATCGCCTGGAGGCAGATTTTTATGACTTGTAAAAAGAAAGATTAAATTTCTGATTCTGATTGGTCGGAGCTCGTATTTTAGAAAACCTCATTTCTACTTACCGTAATCTTCATCTTTCGAAGGAGAGCGCTGAGTGATAGTGGTGTCATTCGAGGACGATGCAGTAGAAACTTTTGCTGACGGTCGTTTCACTTCTGGTGTTCGTGTAGAGGCTATCGTCGGACGGACTATAGGTGGAACTCTGGTGGCAAGTTCCAGAGATGGTCCATCCTCTGCACTTTCATCAAAGTCGAAGAAAAGCTGGAAGCAACAAAGCACTAGTTTATCCGTGTCACCTACAAATCACTGCTATCTACGCACCTGCACAGCATCGATTCCTTGATCATAGTCATCAGCCTGCCGCTTCCCCAGCCGATGTTTGTGTGATTTTCTTTTCCCTTCATGGTATTCATCATATTCCTCCGAAGAGTCAGCAGCGCTAGTCGAATGCAGAAGGCAGCCAACTGCTTCAGCTCCACAAACCTCAGATTGACAGTGGACGGGTGGAGCGGAGATCGACGCTGAATAGCTTTTTCTTGTGAAGCTAATAGCTTGCGGAACAGAGCGGAGACTCACGAAGTCTGTCCTTCTCAGATGTGACTAGCCTCTGAAGGGTGTGGTGAAACAGTGAACAGCAGAACCGCACTGTGCGTGATGTCAGCGCCTCTAACTGAAATAGAATTGTTTGCAACTGGAGGATCTTCTGGAGACTCAAGTTAGACGCTTGAACTAGATTCATGGCATGAAACGTCTTTTCTTTTAATTCTTCTCACGGACAAAAGGAGAATAGTTCCATCAGCAATCAGCTAATAAGCCATCAGTGAAGTTGGCTAAGATGAAGGAGGTGCTAAGACTGAAAGACGTCCTGTGGAAATTCTATTATCAAGGTCATTTAAGGAGTACTCATATGCCGGCGTTGGTACTGAACCTTATGAGAAGAACAAGATTTCTGAAAAGGGTACTGTAGCTCATTCTACTGGCATAATTGCACTGGAACACCTTTATGCTTCTGAAATGGACTTGAATACGTGGTACGTGGTGCATCCTTGCACTATCAACCAGAGCAAAATCCATCTCATATCCTTTCTATCACATAGATGTTGTTGAAGCTTCAGGAAGCCGCTATTATCTGCCCTCCCACGCTTGACTTCATTTTCAGGCTTTTTCTCCAAGAATGTCTCCAGCAGTCTGGGTTTTATACAATATATGTATAGCTAGAGCCGTCCCTGTCAAGTGAGCAATGCTCCATGTGTGAGCTTTCGTTGAAACCCAAGTGAAATCTCTGGAGAGCGACTACGAGTTGCAACGTTTTGCAAAGTAGAACGAAAACGAATTGTTCTGTACTACAATTGCAACCTTTGGTGCGGATTATGACGTAGCTGACAAAAAAGGAAAAATGTTTCTCAGTCGTCTATGCAGATTTGATTCGATTAATGTGACAACTTCATGGAATGCGCAAATGACTGAAAAAATCGACATGCACTTCGCCGTCAATTTGTCTACCGTGCACCACGTCTTTCTTAGAAAAAGAAAAGTGTTCAGGAGGAATCAACGAGCAAAGAACAGTTGACTTGACGTTCGACTTAATCCAGCATCTTCCCAAATCCTGTGGAGCACCTGCGGTTTACGAAGGTTTTATAAAGGGAAGAGCGCACTATCGCATACCTGTTCGAGTCAGGCAAACTTCCTTAACTTCGGGTTCAGTCAGTCAGTAAGCAAACTTGTTTGTCAAGGAAAGCACTGATTTGTACGTTGGCTCTCCTCTCAAGTCGTTGTCCAGGGCACAGACCCTTTCGAAACGCTGCTGCGATTCTGATTAGAAGTCGAATACGGGTGTTTATCCGAAGACGGTATTGATCGAAGCGACTTTACCCCTTCACTTCAATTCGCTGCCGAAATGGCCAGCAATATTATAGATTATGAATTTTCTGCCTTCAGCTACTCCTCCTCCTCCTGTGCTGCTGTGCTCCGGGGTGGTTTGAGCTAGGTAACCAGCCGTTAGGATCTTAAGTAAATAGTGCAGTAGATGGTATGTGAAGTAGTGCAAGGCAAGGCTATACAAAGAGCTCTTATTTGTCTTCTTAAGTACAAGTTCACGATATCATGTTGAAGTGAGTCGTTATGTGATAATGAATGTCATGTCAGAATGTTGAACATAAGGTAACTCGTAAGAGTTCTAGCGTCCCGCTTACCTGGATGCCATGCTGAACAATGATATATTTGACAAAAGCCGGATTCAGTTTGTCGAGATTCAAGTGTGAACATTGTGGCACGGCTCCACAAATTTGCGAAAACAGCCTCTGAAATAATCTCGAAGAGAAAGACTTGAATGTGTTTTGCTAGAAAATTTTACTTAGCACTGAACCTGGTTATTCTCTTCGAGATCATCATCTGAACTTTGCAGAATACCATTATCTACGCACTCATAAACTCCTATCTGAAAGAGATCCATTTAGGCTGATTTAGTGAAAACGGAGTCTTTAAGTAGATTCCAGTGGTGTAGTGTTACAAACTGTCCGCGGACCGAACCCTGTTCACGTTGGCAGAGCTACCGTCAGATGTCCATCAAAACCAATCCTTCATTTAAACTTGTTGCAAGCGGGTGTCCGTTGGCCGAACTCCTCGCCGTCTGGTCCAGCTATCGGAATCGAGCAGAGTGGATCATCCGCGGTCAGGCCTGCCCGATGAACAGCGAACGTGGGCAATGTCTCATCGCATAGTATAAATGAAGCCTATTATCTCAACTAAGCAGAAACAGTACTCTCAACATAGTGGCCCTCATATACTGCAGGTAGTGGTTCGGCGCGCGCTTACTGGTGAATCGCATGAAATTCATGATAATAGGAAAATTGTGAATGGTGCAAAAGTTTTGTCCTGTCATTTCGGTAGATAAGACTGGACCGCCGAGTTCCCATTGGTATTATACTTCTGTAGGCTTTCTTTTTAGAACCAATAACCTTTAAATTAGAAGAGTTTGTTCTCTGAACGCACTTTGTCAACACCTTTTGTCACATCTGGAGCATTGAACTCGAGATAGCCGCATGAAGTGGTGGACGAAGAGCACTGAAGAGCAGTTTGCACTCGACGGGTGTAACGTCTGCCCTGCCGACAGAAAACCTGAAATAAGCAGACTGACTTTGAGTCAGAGATTCGTTTTGACACTGAAAAGAAGGTTTTTCTTGGCGGATTCGCCTCGATGGGAGAATTCGATTACTTTAATCGAAATAGCGAGGTGCCAAGAACTCAATCTTTTCACCGTGGGACCAACATGCTGAAGGGCCAGCAGTGAAAATGTAGTTGGGGGGGGGGGGCACCCAACCGAAGGTCGGTATATCAAGAAATGAACTCAGTCTAACGTGTTAGCCCTTGTTATATCAGCACTGTATCGGATGCGTCGAGGACGATGGGAATCGACCAGCTTAGCTCTTTTATGCGGTTTCCGCTAAGGAAATTTAGTTTCCGAAATAAGCCTAGGTAGGGTAGGAGCACCTGGGTGGCTGGGATGATTACCTCCCGCAAAAAAAAAGAAAAAAAGAAAGAAAACTTGCCCACCGCGG